TTATTAATATTAAATAAAATGTTTTATAACAAAACGTAATATAATGAATACTAAATCTAAATTAAAATCGCACTTATCAACAATATAATAAATATTTAAATTGTATATTTAACAATTGCATGTAATGAACCACTGCCAACATGATGATTGATGACAGTAGATGGAGCAACCCATTTCTGAAAATCCATGAAGCCATATTATTTTATGTTATTTATGTTTAAATTGATTTTTATCATGTTTCATTTGTATAAAATATATTTGTTTACTTACTATTTATTAACGAAGTCATCTTTCTTTATTTTTGTAACTTTAAAGACACTTTTAACTTAAACAGCGGAAATAAAATAAATACATTCAGCACTTAGCATTTAACATACAAACGATTTGACGCCTTCAACAGGACTAATTTGTCACTTTAGAGCTCAGGTACATCCGAAGCGTCTGTTGCAGTTTTGGGGAAAACCCAATAGGGCTGTAAGAAATATTATTAGTCCCAGTGTTAAAATCAAATTTCGTCTTTTCATTCTATTTTTCTGAATTTAACGATAGAAAATATTAAATCTGAATTATTAGTTAAAATTAATTTATTGTATAATAATATAATTTATATATACATATATAATGTATATTCGAGACTCCAGGGGGTTCTGACCCCCATTATTCAGAAAAGACCTTGGATCCGTCACTGATATTACTGTAAGTAAGGCTATGTTGTTGCCACAACAACATACAAACGCTGGAGTGAACATAGTTGTGGTTTTGGCAACTATATCACTTCAACTAGAACCATGTTGTAGCCACAACAACATCATATCAATGTTGCTGTAACCATAGCTGTGGTTAGGGTACAAATACTGTAGTTATTGCAACTACATAACTCCAACTAGAACCATGTTGTTCCCACAACAACATCATTTTCTTGGTAAAACAAAAAAAATATTTAAGACAACAACACTTATGGTTATTACACCACTATCTCTTGCAACATTTAAATTGTAGTTTCCACAACCATAGCAGTTTTTTCCGTGTATATTCGCGTTTTAACACCACACTGAGAAAACTGGAGTATTGGACTAAACATCTGGAGGGACAAATCGTTCATATTTGAGAGTTAGCTATTGGATAACAATCTAAATGTTCAAATTCACCATTGACAGATATTCGTGCCATTTCTCTAACAGAGGGACAAATTAACCATTTTGAGAAATCCCTTCCTTATCCGGCGCGAAATGAATAAATATGGCAACCTAACCCCTAAATTAAATACATAAAATGTCAGAAAAATAATTTTGCGCTCATCAGATCGTACACATTTTCTGCGCAACTTTTAACCCTCAGATATAATGGGAGAGAATATACAAGTAGATTTCCATTATCAATTGAAAATTTATTTTAGAAGGACTATTTAACTCTCTTCATAAGCAAAGGAAACATACACTTTTTGAACCTCTGAATTTGACTCTCCAGTTTTCTCAGTGCAAAAGATGATAGTAAAAATTGGAAGTCAATCTGTCACAATTTGCGAAGTTGAGAGGTTATTTTTGAAAAAAGTCTGTTTTGCTAAAATGGCAACGTAATGTTTATCATATTGTTTTCTACATTAGAGTTTCAGAATATTTATTTACGTAAGTGTTTTCCAGAGTGGAATTTTCTACTGAACACGAATATCGTACCTATTTATTTTCAGACTAATTCACGTTGTTCCATAAAATTTAGAAAAAACTGAAGCTACTACTACACTTTAGAAGGCTCTTAAAAGACCAAATTTAAAAAAAAATTCTAAGGTCTTTTATTATAAATATTTAAAAAACTTTTTTGCTTATTAATATAGGCAATATATTATATTATAATATATAATATTATATATTAATATAGTTCATATTTGGAGAATAAAAATAATGGTTTGTTTTTAATTTTTATTTAATATCATAATCAGCAGACAGCATTCAGATCGAAACTCCAAAAAGTTAGTTGTCCAATTGCGGACAGTTTATCTTAAGATTGACAAATCGGAAACAAAAAATCCAAATTGCTTTTTAAAAAGGAAGGTGTCTTGCATAGAAATCCACCACCATTAATAAAAAAAAGACTAAAATAAAAAAATAACAGATGTTTTAATAATTTGTTTAAAAATACACTATGTTTTTCAGTATTTTTCTAGCCTGCAAAAATGTTTTTTTTTAATTTTTTGACCATTTTCTGGTGAATTCTCACACAGGACATGCTAACAAACAAAACGAGTTATTATTTATTAAAATCGGTTCAGTAGATTCAGAGATAAACTGTCCGCAATTTGAAAAAACGTTATTTTGAGAAAAACGCGTTTAAACTTTATATGTATCGTTAGAGGCCATCCATAAATTACCTAAATTTCTTTTGCAAATTGAAACCCCACCATTTTTTTTATGTCAGACACTGTTACATACATTAGCACCAATGTTTCTACTGGTCGTAACAAAAAGCTGGACCCCACCATCCCCTTAAAGACTTACTTAATTTGTCTATGACGGGGCAAGGATAGTTAGAGCTAATACGGCACGGTAAAATCCTGTTAATGCCATTGCAAATTTTAAAAAAGTGTTTAATTGTTCTTTTTAGGTTGATATACATAATAGTGCGTAATTAAATACAGAAAACGAAGCTTATTGACCAAAAAATTGGTGGTCGTCTGAAGAAAATTGGTTAAACCTCTGATTCTAGTTCAGATGAATTATAATACAATCATTCCAATTCAGAAAATGTTCAATACAAATTTTTATTACTTGAGATATTAATATTGAATAGTCTAAATCCAGTTAAATAAAGAAAACAAAAATTTACTGATTTTCTATAACATTTTTAGCATTCGAATTTTTTTAACTATCCTTGCCCCGGTACTGGGGCAAGGATAGTTAAAAATTTTTGTTTACTTTTTCATTCGTATCTCGTAGGGATTTGAGTCTACAGTAAAATAATGTATAGCAAAATTATAGCCAAATTACCAGGCTTTCCAAAAATACTTTTCGTTTGCAGATACATATTTAAGTTTGGCAGCTAGATCCGAAAAAGGCTTACCTAACTATCCTTGCCCCATCCTCCCCTACATAATAATTTATATTATTAATATATTTAATTATTTCTACTAAACATAACATATTATGTCACACATATGTTTTGTTGACAACAGCTATGTGCTCGGAAAATTGATCATAACTTTTTTGAGTCCATCTGAACACTATACTTTCTTTGAATAAAAGTTACGTATTTATGTTACTTTTCGAACAGTATATTTGATTTACAATTTCGTTTACCCATTTGCAATTTATGGGTCAAAAACAAAACCCGTCTCATACCCCTATAATATTTCTGTTTGATGGTGTTAATATGTGTTAATATTTAATTTTTTCCATTTAATCTATTAATAAAATAGATTATAAAATTTTTCTATTCTAAAAACAAGCACTTTTATCTACAATACAATAGATTTTTTAATGTACCTAATTACAAATTTTCTGTTAAATATATAAAAAAATATAATGATTTTGCATGCTTTTCTTAATTTTTCAATTTCTCCGAAGCTAATTAACAGTTTTTAATGTTCTCGGACTCGCTTTAATGGTTATGTAATGTAAAATTAAATTTATTAACCGGTATTTTGGTGCAAATTGTGAAACTTAAATAAGAGAAATTAAAAAAATTATTATTAGTATTCAGAGGTCAAAAATGTTTGAGTAAAATATTAAAATTTTATAGATACCTATACATAAAAAGGGCCTAGCGGAGTAAGCATGCAAAATCTGCCCCCAAACAAAAAAATTTGAAATTCTTGTTACATGTTGGCAACATTAAGATAAAATTTTTCACCAAATATTTTTTCAAAAAATGTATTTTTGTAAGAGTTATGGAGGGGAAAAGAAAAATCAAAAATTTGTTTTTTCTCGAAAACCACTGTATCGATTTTAATGAAATTTATATGTGTTTTATAAATTAATAAGAGGAATTTAAAAAAAAAAAATTCAAAAAATTCTGCCCGAAAAAAACCCCAAAAAAAATTTTTTTTATTTTTCAAACAAAAATTTTTTGGTCTTAGTTTAGAGATACTACTTTGGAATTTGTACAGAAAATTCTCCTAAATGTGTTCTTTTAAGAAATATTTTTGTCGATTTTTTTAATTGGGTACCACATAGTTAAAAAAATTAAAATCCTAGGTGGCGCATCATTCCGGCTGAAGCACAATGTATCCAGTAACTGATTATTTTTAAATTTCCTTGAAATTTAGTAATTATGCGTTTCTGTAATGACACTCAGTACGAATGTAATATTAAATTTTCAAAATTCAAAATGACTTGGTACGTTGTGCTTCAGCCGGAATGATGCGCCACCTAGGATTTTAATTTTTTTAACTATGTGGTATCCAATTAAAAAATCGACAAAAATATTTCTTAAACTTGCACATTTAGGAGAATTTTCTGTAAAAATTCCAAAGTAGTATCTCTAAAATAAGACCAAAAAATTTTTTTTTGAAAATTAAAAATTTTTTTTTTGCGCAAAATTTTTTGAAATTTTTTTTTTTAAATTCCTTTTATTAATTTATAAAACACATATAAATTTTATTGAAGTCGATTCAGTGGTTTTTGAGAAAAGACAAAGTTTTGATTTTTCTTTCCCCCTCCATAACTCTTACAAAATACATTTTTTGAAAAAATATTTGGTGAAAAATTTTATCTTAATGTTGCCAACATGTAACAAGAATTTCAAATTTTTTTGAGCGGGGGCAGATTTTGCATGTTTACTCCGCTAGCCGCTATCTTATTTATAAACACCTAATACTTTTGTATATTGATCGTTAATGACAAAGGAACATACTTGTAAAATTAAACGTTAGTATCCTTTTTTTAATATCTACTTTTAAATACCCAATTTTTTCTGTGTAAATTGATATATTTATTTGATAAATTTGATTGTTTAGAGAAATACAATAATTGGTGAAGATAAATTACCATTTTGATACTATTTTTCAGGCTGGAATCAGCAACAAGATCATTAAAAATTGATGCACCGCAAAGGGTGGTGCTAGAATCTTTTGGAGGTGAAATATCAGTCACCTGTTTATTGGACATGCAACTTCAAAGTATCGAAGGTGCAATAAGATTCGAGTCAAAATCTGTCTTCCTAAAGGGCCTAAAAACTGCTGTTCCAATTCAAAGCTATACCTCAAGAGAACAGCAGCAACAATATTCTAGTCGATCATCATCGCATCAAAGTCAACGGGAATCAACGATCTACCAACTCTGTGCCTGTGCGAGTGGCAAACTTTTTCTCGCAAGTCCCGAGGGAGTTTGCCAGGCCGACAAAGCCGTCTGTTAGTAGTAAACTAAAATAAATTATTGTCAAAATTACTAATTAATTGACAATTTTTTTTTAATTTCATAAAATGAGACAATTTATATTCATTAATTCAACTATATTAATGTAAAAGCACTGTCATTTAAAGGCTTTATCACTTTGAAAATGATGCCAAAGCCTTTTAAAGAAACTATCAATTTTTTTTTCAAACAAGTTCAGTTTTTTCGTTAAATAAAATAATACGTCTCGTTCAGAAATGTTCATCTCAACGAATTCTTTGAACGTCGCGAAAAACTCGTATATCTATTATGTAAGGGGTCCTAATAAGAAAATTGGATTTCAGGATTAAAAAGAAAATGTATTTTGTATATGTATAGAAAAATAAGGAAAAGAAATAAGAAATTTTTTGAACGCCCTTAAGAATGTTAAATAAATTTTTTGATCATATGTACATGAAGTTTATGAAACGGATGTTTGTTATTAGAGAGCTTGCGGTAGATTGTAAAACATATATAGATCTAGTCCGTGTAATTCTGTCCCTGAAATGCAAAATAATGTCCTTAGGGGTTACTTCTTCTTATTTCCCTTCAAAAAAATTAAATAATTTGAAATTATGTTTGACAAAAATTTCCATTAAATGTGTTTTAGAAAACTTCTGAGTTTTATTTTAACTATTGGGACACCTTACTGTACATATGCGTAGCTGTGCAATGTATATCTTGTATATCAATAAAAATGTACGATTATCGTTGAACGTTAGATTTGATTCTTATTTTTTTCACCTTATTCGAAAATATTATACACAATTAAAATTTAACTGATTTACTTTATATAATGCAACAATCATTTTCCTATAATTTTTTCACTTACTAAATAGGAAAGTATAAATAAAAAATAGGATAAATCGGAAACACAATTTTCTGACAAGCAATGGAGTTTAAATTAAAGTTCACTTAAGTTTTATTCCAATAGACACGAAACTCGATAAAAAACTAATCAGTTTCGTATTGAGTTTCTCGACGTTCAAAATAAAATGAATGTGTCATCTAATACTGGCTGACCCAGTTTTTAATAAAACTGCATTTTTAAATTATAAAGTACAAATTAAAAGTTCTTCTTAAAATATTCAGTCGCAATCTATAATAACATAAACCAATTCTCTCCTTCTATTTTGTTTTGTAACTGAAAGTAAAAGTGAACATTAGAATTTTTCAATTAAGTGGGTCAGAATTTCTCAAACGGATCACCTAAAACTAAAAAATTTTCTTTTTGAACCAAAATATTTTTTTTTGACTCTTAATATGGTTAAGAAGAATCCCTAAAAATATTAAGCCAAAAAAAAATTTTTTGTAAAAGTTATTAACAATTGAATTTTTTAGTACTGCTAAATTAATAAATTTTTTTCTCGAGTTCCAATTGACGGATTTAAAATTTAAAATATGGGTTTTTTTCGTCTTGAATTGCACTATTCGAATATATTTTTTGTTTTTAAATTTTTTTATTTTTTATAATATTTTACATTATTTGTTTATAAAATGTTAATAAACAAATATGTTCTTCACGTCCTAACAAAAAAATAAAAATTGTATTATATTCCTTAAACGTCTCCGAGTGTAAAACTGTTTTGAAAAAAATGAGCCTCAATTAGAAAAAAAGTTATTAATTAAAAACTGCAGCTGTGTAGAGCTTGACATGACGTTAAACTCGCCCCGCGCACATTGGCATTTTTTACAATTTAATGTTAAAAATTATCTGGAGCCTACAAATTTTATCGGATTTTGATGGTTTTGGTCTTAAATTAAAGGGGATAAAATTTCTAAGAGATCCCTCTAAACCAATTTTTAATTTTTAAATTGTTTATATTTTTTTTTGTTATTTAAAGTTAACAATTTACAATATCTTTTTAAAAAATCATGTTTATTTTTTTATTTTTCCATTGAAAATGATTGAAATCAGTTTAAATTAGTCTAGCATGACCACCAGACAAATAATAATGCATAATTCAATTTATTTAAATTGTTGCAAACAATCTTAATTTATTTGTTTAAAAAGTAAATAACTTGTTTATAACAAATGTAATTGTTTGTGCTAATAAAGTTTTTGAAAATATATTTTTTTATGGGCCTCAGGCTTTAAAAGCTTCTATTTAACATTTTAACGATAAAAATAGTAGAAAAAATCCCTGATAAAAAATCAACATTTTTGATATTTTTACGAAATACTAAAAGTCGCGTACTAAATTGAAATAATTATTGTAGGCAAAAATTATATTTTTCTTCTTAAATTTTTTCTACATGTGTGTAAATGATATCTGTATGAAGTAATTTATTATTTATTGTTAAGGAGAACTCAATTTTATAACCCTAAAAGTTTATTCAAAAAACAGTGATTTTTAATATTTTCGATTTTTACACTTCCGCTCACAAAAAATTTAATTTTTTTTATCAGAGATTTTCTACAATCTTTTAGCACCAAATAGAAGTCTTTAAGGCCTAAGATGTCTAAAAAATTTTTTTTGGTCCACCCTAATGTACATATGATATAAACATTTTATGTTTAAACAATGCCTAAAATGTTTACAAATGTCAAAGAAACTTGATTATTATTCATAATAATTTTCAATAACAATGGTAATTATTAACTTTCAAATCATTTTTTACCAAAATCGACATAGATTACTTAAATAAACATAAATTTGTCTGCAAAAAAAGCATTTTTTTTATTATAAAGAACCAAAGGTATCTATTTGTTAATTAGGATTGTTTGTAATAATTTAAATAAATTGCATTATGCATTATTATTTGTCTGGTGGTCATGCTAGACTAATTTACATTGATTTCAATCATTTTCAATGGAAAAATGAAAAAATAAACATGATTTTTTAAAAAGATATTGTAAATTGTTAACTTTAAATAACAAAAAAAATATAAACAATTTAAAATTTTAAAATTGGTTTAGAGGGATCTCTTAGAAATTTTATCCCCTTTATCTCATTAACGCCCAAATGTCCAAAACTTTTGACTGAAGTTCACCTTCGGTACTAGGGGGTATTGAGGTCCGCTCTTTCAGAATACGGGGTCAAAAAAGCATTTCGACCATCAGGGAAACCAATATGGCGCGGCGTATAAAAATTTTTGAAAATCGATAAAATTGCATGGAATTACTCACTCGGGGGTTTTCGGGGTCGCTGATTACTCTCACCACGTGGAGGTCGACTAATTTTAATGTTATAAAAAATTTTTAAATAAAATATAAAAACAGTTAAAAACACCAAAAAATTTAAAAATGAAAATGTAGGAAAATTAGAAAATACAAAAAAATATTAAAAAATTGTTCAAAAAATTTTTAAAAAAAGAAGACAAAGTTCAGAAACTTTGTCAACCTCCACGTGGTGAGAGTTAGGCAACTCCAGAAAAACGTGACGGCTAACAAACAAAATAAACTCTCCAAAACAACTAGAAATTTATGAATTTGTAGTAAATAATTTTTAAAATTGCACTTTTAAAATTCGTAATCAGCGACCCCGAAAACCCCCGAGTAAGTGATTCCATGCAATTTTATCTATTTTAAAAAAATTTTATCCGCCATATTGGATCCGACATTTTGAATTTTAAAAATTGAATTTTATATTCGTAATCAGCGAATCCAAAAACCTCCAAGTGAGTAATTTTATGCAATTTTATCGATTTTCAAAAATTTTTATCCGCCATATTGGATCCGCTATTTTGAATTTTAAAAATTGAACTTCATATTCGTAATCAGCGACCCCAAAATCCCCCAAGTGAGTAATTTCATGCAATTTTATCGATTTTAAAAAAATTTTATTCGCCATATTGAATCCGCCATTTAAAATTTTAAAAATTGTACTTCATATTCGTAATCAGCGACCCCAAAAACCCCCGAGTGAGTAATTTTATGCAATTTTATCGATTTTCAAAAATTTTTATCCGCCATATTGGAACCGCCATTTTGAATTTTTAAAATTAAACTTCATATTCGTAATCAGCGACCCCGAAAACCCCCGAGAAGTAATTTTCAGATGATTTAAATCAAGTTTTGAATATTGATAATGCATTTGCTATTTATCAAGTATTTTGCTCTGATTTTTCTGCCATTTTGAATCTGCCATCTTGAATTTTCAAGTTGTCAAGTACACAGTTCGAAAGTACAACTAAGGGAAGTGTTCCGGTTGTGGGCACCCTTTTGTTTTTGCCTCATAACATTTGTCCATTTGCATAATTATTATACAAATATATGTGTACGAATTTAAAGCTAGAGGTCTAAGGTTACTGTCAGTGAAGGAATTAAATTGATTCCTTTAAATAAAAAAGTTTTATTAGAAATTTAGTGACATAGAAATTTTTTGACAAAAAAATTTTTGTACCCGGTTGTGGGCACCCTTGCAAAATCCGCTAAAAATGGAAAAATATTAAAGGAAACCAACACAAATAAAGAAGAAATGAAAGTTTCTTTATTTTAAGAGACTTTGCCGGGATAAAGAACAAAAATGATGACACGTTTTCACACTATGCTCATCGCTAACAGAAGCATAATGCTAGCATGTGAAGTAGCTGTCCCGCATATCATAACGCACTTCTAATGCACTGAACGACTATATTCATCGCATTTAATGAAGTTTGCGGCTGTCACATTCCTTGGCAGAAAGTTTAGATAGATGAGACAGTAGTCCACATTATTGTCAGATGGTAGAGCCTCCTTAACCCTTTAAAGCCCGAATTATTTCCACCGATTCGATTTCAACCACACTTGGTATATAATGGTTTTTGGGGTCGCTGATTACGAATCTGAAGTCAAAATTGCAAAATTCAAAATGGCGGATCCAATATGGCGGACGAAAAAATAAAAAATAATGGGATTTATATGAAACTTGTCACTCGGGGGTTTTTGGGGTCGCTGATTACGAATATGAAGTCGAAATTGCAAAATTTAAAATGGCGGATCCAATATGGCGGACGAAAAAATTAAAAATTAATAAGACTTATATGAAACTTGTCACTCGGGGGTTTTTGGGGTCGCTGATTACGAATATGAAGTCGAAATTGCAAAATTTAAAATGGCGGATCCAATATGGCTGATAAAAAAAATAAAAAATAATGGGATTTATATGAAACTTGTTACTCGGGGGTTTTTGGGGTCGCTGATTGCGAATATGAAGTCAAAATTGCAAAATTCAAAATGGCGGATCCAAAATGGCGGACGAGAATTAAAAATTAAATAGGATTTACTTGAATATTGTTACCAGCTGACTATCATTTGTTCTTTTTCATTCAAGTCATGCGCTCCAGGGTTGTCAATTGTTTTTATTGATTGGCCAGCTGATTTTCATTTGTTCTTTTTCGTTCGAGTCAAGCGTTCCAGGTTTCCTTTCACAAATGGATTAAATATCTTACTTTTATTAAACATAATTCGCTCTATTAAATCCACCATTATGATTCTTAACATTTTAACCTCAGAAACCCCAAAAACCCAAAGCATCAAATTTAATGTCAATCCCATTAATTTGTTATTTTTTTGTCTTTCATATTGTATCCGCCATTTTGAATTTTGCAATTTTGACTTCATATTCGTAACAAGCGACCCCAAAAACCCCCGAGTGACAAGTTTCATATATCTCCCATTATTTTTTTGTCCTCCATATTGGATCCGCCAAATTAAATTTTGCAATTTTGACTTCATATTCGTAATCAGCGACCCCAAAAACACCCGAGTGACAAGTTTCATATAAATCCCATTATTTT